TAGAGGGTAACTCAGCAAAAATTTTCCACTGTCGTGCTCTTTCCCTCCAGCTCCAAAAGTTGTCCCTATTCAAGTCAGCATCCCAGGCTCACAGAAGAAACTAACCCACACACGCCAATTGCAAGATCCGGACAGATCATGAAAAAGATAATCTACTAGATATATTTTAAAACCAAGGAAAATCAAGAAATTAAGAGTGTGAAGAGGAAAATTCAGATGAGAGATTTACTTACATGTATAAGATTGGCTCAAGTCAATGCATCTAGCACCTGCCGATAGCATAGAGCAGGAAGAATGCTCTTCCTGTCCAGGCTATTCAAATATTAACCTGCATGACATTTACATGAAAAATCCAGCCCATTTGCTTTTGACAGTAAGAGCCTAATGTAGGGTGGGGTAGCCGAGGTACTCATGGAACAAGTGAGACAGATTCTCCGATGGGCTGGGTCAGCAAATGCAGGCCACACACACACACACACACACACAGCAGTATTATTTCAATATCTAGATAGAAAAAATATGAAGAACAATAAGAAACAACTTCTAAGATACTCGTAATGGCAATTAATTGGCCTAGGTAATCGCCCAGGATTACTTTATCTTTTCTCTTCCATATCAAATGCTGCTTAAATTTATAGATGTTATGATCTGAAATCCTTCTACTAATAAACATTTATGTGACCAGTGTAATTTTTACTATTGGATCTATTTTAGACAACTGATGCTAGTAAAATAAATTAATGTGATTTTTCTGGGAACAAAAGAAAAATTGACCAGAGTCTGTATAGACTTGCTTCAGACTTGACTCAGGGTCCATTAAAATTTCTGAAAAGAGGAAGAATGTTAAGACGAACTTTCTAAAAGATTAGAACTACTGGAACCTAAACAAAACTACATTTGCTTATAGGGTTTTTTTTTTTTTTTTCAATTTCTAACTAAAGGTACACCACACCCTCAGATCTACGGGACGCACCCACCACTTTGAGGTTCATTTATAATACAGTTATCAGTCAACTTCTACACGTCCCAGTTTTGCAACTGGCAATGTTATTTATTCTCCAAGGTTATTAATGCTTCTCCCACACACAACTTGGAAGAACAGGACAGACGATGGCCAGAAAATCTTCTGAGATATTTTTAAATTGATCCTGTTCTTGGCCTTAATAAATCACCTCCTCCCAGGGATAGTGTATCTTAGACAAAAACATGTAATAACACGAAAGAAAACTCACAGGCAGGCAAGACACTTAATATTTAGTGTATGTGATTTCTTTTTTTTTTTTTGAACAAAGGAAAAATAGAGAAATTCATGTCCAGGTCTCTGTCCTGTTGCAAGGTATTCTCTGAGCTTCACGCTGTTGATAATTCTGATTCAGGGTGACGGTAACAGCTAATTTTTTTGAGTGTTTACTATGATCCAGATATTTCACATATGTTACAAAATATCTCAGTGGGGTCAGACTGAGATGGAAGTAAAGTAGAAAAGAGAATCAGTTTTGTTGTCATAGAATTTTCATGGAGCTTCTTAATTCTTGGAATATTTGGGGACATGAACAGGTACCTAAGCACATGTCCGTTTTTGCAAAGGCCCAGAGAGCCTTTGCTTACTCTTCAGACTCAGTGGCGGGAATGGTGATTAAGAACAGGAAGACAGAGTAAGGAGGGACAACTAGCCCCTAGAGAGAAATTGCCAAGAGTGCAGAGGAATTGAGGAAGCAGATCTAGCTGACGAAGGCAGTGGTGACATTGGATTTGGTGGGCAACTGTGCTCCTGACCACTGTGTCCCCCGGCCCTCCTGGATTATCTATGTGTCTTGAAAGGCAGAAGGTAATTTTAACAACCACATCACAAGGAATCCACCCAACACCACTGTGGGACCCCTTTCTAAAAGTGCTGGAACAAGAAGGGAGAGTC